CCCGCCACCACGCCCAGATAATTTTTTGTATTTTTAGTAGAAATGGGGTTTCACCATGTTAGCCAGGATGGTCTCAATCTCCTGACCTGGTGATCCTCCCACCTCAGCCTCCCTATTTTTTTTTAACAGACAATTTCTATTTCTCTATTGGTAACTTCTATATGGTAAGACGTTGCTCTTCTACTTTCTTTTATTTCTTTAGACATGCTTTCTTTTAGTATTTTGAACATATTTAAAATAGCTGATTTAAAGTCTCTGTTTAGTAAGTCCAGCGTCTGGACTTTCTCAGGGTTAGCTTCTGTTGACTGCCTTTTCCCCTGTGTATGGGCCCTGCTTCCTTGTTTCTTTGCATGCTTTTGTAATTTTGTTAAAAACTGGACGTTTTAAATAATGGAAACTCTGGAAATAGAATCTTTCTCCCTCTGCAGAATTTGCTGTTATTGCTGTTGTTATTTTTGTTGTTGCTGCTGTTTGTTTGTTTAGTGACTTTTCTGGACTTATTCTCTAATTTGTATTCTTTGTCATGTGCAGCTACTGAAGTCTCTGCTTGGCTAGCTTAGTGGTTAGCTAGTTATCGAATGGAGATTTCCTTAAATCCACTAAACCAGTAAGTCTCCCAGCCTTTGCTGAGCTGCTGTCTGTCCGTTAGAGTACTGCTTCACCATTGTAGCAGCTTACAACTCTGCCTTAGCCTTCACTTCCTGCTGGTGCAGACCCTCAAGGTCAGCCAGAGGGGAGAGGTTAGGGCTTTATCTGGTCTTTCCTGGGCACACACACAGCCCTATATGTTCATGTGGCATTCCAGACTCCCAGGAATATATTGGAGCCTTTCAGAGCTTCCTATGGGCATCCCATTTCCCAGCTTTTTCTTTCAAGCTTTTTGGTCAGCCTCTTGTTTGCCTCAACTGTCTGTGCCTCCCCAGGTAGCTGCAGAGTTAAGCAGTTGCCACTTACTATTTTGGGCAAATGCCCTGGAGATAGAACAGAGAGAGTGCTCAGCTAGGTCAGATAAAGTCAAGCCTTGAGAATAGAGCTTTCTGGCAAGCTGCCAGCAGGTCAAATGGTGACAGTTCTCTAGGGATTTGATTTTTGGGGAGTTCTAAACGTGTCTGGCCTCTCTAATGGCTGCTAGGCTGCCAGTTTTTACAGCTGCTGTCTTCACGAGGCTGTTGATTTTTAAGGCAATCCCGGAGCTGGAGGAGGAAACAGAATTAGCACACATTAAAACAACTCAGACGTCACTGTTCTTACTGAGATTCAGGCACTTTTCTTGGATAAATGTTCCTCAGAATGTTGCAATCCTTTTATTAATTTCCAGATTCTGAAAAAGTTGATTGATCATTTTTGGTGGAATTCTTACTGCTGTTATGGAGGAGCAGGTCTTTAATCTGCCATCCTGTAAGCTAACTCTCTGTCAGTGCTTTATCAGCTGAGGCCCTCTGTGCAGTAAGAATCTGGTTTCCTACTTTCTCTCATTTTCCTTCTTCCTATCTCTGTCTTTGAGTCTTGAAGTGGCCCTAAGGGAGTGTTAAAAAGTACAGGGTACTGTAACCTACCTGTCACCACTCTTCATTAGAAGTGAGTCTCAACTTTTGGATGGAGAGCAAGCATCAGGCACTTGATCCTGCTTTCCCAGGATGCTCTGCAGACCGGTATCACACTGATCTGCTCGATCAGTTGCTCATCTGCCAACAGAGTCCATCTTTTGCAGTCTGGCCAACTTTGCATATTATCCTGTGATGAAGTAAACTCTTTGTTCCCCTAAATTAGTGTTGGAAAACAAAATGCTAATAGTTAAAATGGCTATTTCCTCTGGATACTGTTGGGATTTAAAAGGCCAGACATAACATTAATTTTTCTAGATCTAATCTTAGTCCTGGATAATGGCTTGAGTTTTCTGTTAATTAAATATGTACATATGTTTAAAATCTAAATTCTCACATGCAATTTAAATTAGAATTTTCTACCTGACCAGATGTTTGGGTTTTAGGTAATTTTATGACAGCCTTTGATTTCGGAGGCCATCAATCTTCAATTCTATAAGGTGGAAATACAAATGCTGTTTGTCAAAAGTAAAGAGATTCTGTTCTGAAAAGCTCTGTATGATTGTATAGCTAATTACCATGTAAAAGTTTGTGTTTTTTGCATTTTATGTATTTGTGTATTTTCTTCTCTTATTTGTTAGATTACAATTGAACCAAGTAGTCTAAAATGTGATATTACATGGTGGTACAACAATTTTGAAATCTTGAAAGATAAAACTGGAAACATTTGCTTGTATTTTTTTTTCACCTCATAGTGTTTTGTTAATGAGACATTTTATACTGCCATAAACCCAGGGCAATAATATAGGTGTTGATTGATTTTTGGATGACAAGGGGCTTCTCTAATTGCAGAATTTGACATTTGTGTCACTTCTGCTGTTTTAGGTGAGCAAGACGTGGAAGGTGATTGCGGAGGATGAGGTGCTGTGGTACAGGCTGTGCCAGCAGGAAGGGCACCTTCCGGATAGCAGCATCTCTGACTATTCTTGCTGGAAGCTCATCTTCCAAGAGTGCCGAGCCAAGGAACACATGTTACGAACCAACTGGAAGGTGGGCAGTGGCCAATATCATTACCTGTGAAAGAATAGCCTGCAAGGACATGGGTATCCAAGCTTTCACTCATAGCCTGAGATTAATTGCCAACAGCGAAGGGAGAGGGGTACACTGAGCCGCCCCTTCAGCTGTTGGTGACTTGTTGCCCATTTTGTTCGCCATTAGATGATTTGCCTCTGTTTTCAGCCTCAAGATTTGGGAACGTCCTCTTACTCTGCAGGAGAGGAAGGGTGAGATTGAGTTGCCATCCACTTCCTCTCTGATTGTTGGGGTGGTCAGAGGAGTGCTCTGTGCAGCTCCTTTGACTTTCACCAACTCTCTGGAGGGCCCCAGAAAGCAAAAGCACCACCTGCATACAAAAGAGGAGCCGAAAATGTCATTTCCAGTAAATGTAAGAGGGAGATGATGAAACATCTCTAAGCACTGTCTTCTCTTCCCTCACATAACCTACTGGCGCGCTTCCATAACATTTATCACTTCAAAGTCTCTACAGAAATATTAGATCACAGCTAAGAATTTGCACAGTGAAGTGTTTCCATAGGAGATAACTGTCAAGAGCCATGTTACATAAAGCTGTTTGAGGCATGACGAGACAGCAGTGTGGTGGCAGTGTTTCCTTCCCACCTGGGAGGCTGGAGATTCAGTGGCAGAGAAGGGATGGAAACATTCTCTTTACTCCCGTAAAGGTCAATCTTAATAGACTTTGAGATTAACAAGTTTTTGTGCATTACTGATAGTGACATATTGCCTATGTGCCTGTCTGTCCCTAGTCACCTCCTAACCTGATTAGTGACCGATACGCTTGATCTGGGCAACCTCACACAGTTTCTAGGAAAGTCAATAAGAGCAGTGTCTCTCTAATTCAGGGGTTCCCAACCCCAGCACTAGTGACATTTAGGGCCAGCTAATTCTTTTTGTGGGGGGCTGTTCTGTGCATTGCAGGCTGTTGAGCAGTATCTCTGGCCTCTCCCCGTTAGATGCCAGTAGCATTCTCCTCCCCCAATCATGACAACTAGAAATGCCCCTAGACATTGCTGAATGTCCCCTGGGAATCAAAATCCCCTCCCGGTCGAGAACCACTATTCTGAGAGTTAGTGTGGTTATCCTTTCTTAGGCCGTTAAGACACCACCACTAAGACAGGTCACGCTGGCCCCACAGTGCCCTTTTCCATCGACCTACGGTAATAAACTCATCTGGAGGAAGCCCCCAATCCCTCTTGCCCGTGTGCCTGGGTAGGTCCAGATGATGGACACAGGCAGAAACGTATGACAAAGAAAGCTGCCCAGACAGACAAAGGGTCAGAAAGCAGAGGGTCTAACCCTGGTGGGAGAGGCTGCGATTTAAGGAAAGCTTAAGAACTGAGTGTTAATGGGGCCTTTCTCTCCAGAAAGGAGAGATACTTTTGAGATTTACAAGCAGGAGACTTGGAGATATTTGGCATCCCCAGGCTTGAATTTGAAGATGTCAGACCCTGGTAGAAAAAAGCAGCAGCTGTGTTTTTTGCTTCCTCTTTGGTGATGGAGAAAGCAAGGGAAGAGGACAGGTGTGTCCTTGTTGGGCCTGGAGGTGGCAGAAGTGACAATGTTTTAAAGACCCACCACCTAGCATTTGGCACTTAGTAAGACTTCACAAGTTATATGCAATCTAGCTGAATGGCTATTTAGTATTTCTTTCTAACTAGCACGAAGTCATCTGTTAGGTAAATACTCACTACATGGCTGTTGATCGAGTGAACTGGAGTGGACTGCAGGCCAAACCAAACATGAGGGAGACTTCTATTTGGAGCGTGTCAGGTCCATTTCCTGACACTATTAACAAGGAGAATTCTAGGAGTGAAATTTTAAACGATGTATCTTTCATTAAATGTAATGGTGGGATTCTTACCAAAATTCTGGAACGAAAGAAAGCCTTATCAAAACGTGAAAGGCAGCTCGGCACTGTGGGTCACTCCTGTAATCCCAGCACTTTGGGAGGCTGAGGCAGCTGGATGACTTGAGGTTAGGAGTTCCAGACCAGCCTGGCCAACATGGTGAAACCCTGTCTCTACTAAAAATACAAAAATTAGCCAGGCATGGTGGCACAAGCCTGTAGTCCCAGCTACTTGGGAGACTGAGATTGGAGAATCGCCTGAACCCTGGAGGTGGAGCTTGCAGTGAGCCAAGATTGCGCCATTGCACTCCAGCTTGGGCAACAGAGCAAGACTGTCTCAAAAAAAAACAAAAAAGAAAGAAAAAGAAATGAAAGGCAGTGTTGGGGCAAGTTGCTTTACTTTTGTCTGCCTCCATTTTCTCTTCTCTAGAGTGGGAGCTAGGAGTGGCACTGCTCATGGCTTCATGGTGAGGATGATTGTCATCAAGTGTCTGCCACTCCTCCTGCAGAGGCTGGTCCACACTCAGTGCTCAGGCAAGGTTGGCTGTAGGAGCGCATAGTCCTCTCCACACAGTTGCAAGGTTCTGTGCTGTGCATGCTGTACTTCAGGATGGGTTAGGCAGGCGATTTGGTTTGGTACCTCCTAAGTCAGTGTCTGGGGAGACCCTAGAAGGGACCCCAGGGTTCTCAGGTACCTCCACAAAGGGAATGACCTGCAAATGCATGAACTTATCTGGAACTGCAATTCAATGTCAACCTGGAAATCGTTTGCTAAACTAATTACTATGGTGGCCATAGTATTCTTTTTCCTGGTGTTTGCCATAATACTATGGTGGCCATAGTATTCTTTTTCCTGGTGTTTGCATACATGCAGGTTTTCATCTTAGACCCTTTATTTTTCTTTCAATACCTTTTCCCTCACAAGAGCTTTTCTGTTATTGTAACCTTGGCTGCGGCCCTCACACAGCTGTTTCCCAGTTCCTTGCCTTCCCTCCCCATATCTCCAGTCACAGGACAGCTCCACTTGGATGTGTCCAGTTTTGTCTCAGCCTTTGACTTGTTGCTTGGATTAAGACCATCATGCGAATTACTTTGCTCAGTTCTGGAGTCTAGGTGCTTAATAAATGTGTATTTTAATGGAATGATGTCATAATCGTTTTCCTAATAATAGAAATAATAATAATAATGGCTACCACTTATCGAACACTTGCTGTATGTTAAGAACTGTGCTGGGTACTACACTGTTTCTAGTCCTTGTCCTTGTCCCAGTCTGGTAAAATTGAAATTATGGTATTCTCGACTATCTTTATTCATGCTTGCTTTGTGGCTTAACTGTCTCACTTTTCCCAACCTCCCACATGTAAATACTTTATATCCATTCAGATTTCCTTCATTGTAATTCAATTTAATTTTTTTTTTTTTTAAGAGATAGGGTCTCACTCTCTTGCCCAGACTGAAGTACAGTGTTACAATCATAACTCACTGTAGCCTTAAGTTCCTGGACTCAAGTGACCCTCCTGCCTCATCCTCTCAAATAGCTGGGGCTACAGGCACATGCCACCACACCTGACTATCTTTTACATTTTTTGTAGAGATGCGGTCACCCTATGTTGCACAGGCTGGTCTCAAACTTCTGAGCTCAAGTGCTCTTCCTGCCTCTGCCTCCCAAAGTGCTGGGATTACAGGCATGAGCCACTGCGCCTGGCCTAAACTTTCATTTAAATACTATTTCCATGAAACCTCTGACCTCTCAGTTAGAAATAGTATCATTTCTTCTCCTTTTTCTTATCCTGATCTTTATCTATTTGTATATAATTTTGCATTTTATTCTGAGAATCCTCATAAGAGTTAACAGGTAAGGTATCATGTAATACTTTCTTTTTGCTGAACTGAACTTTTTCGTATACTTTATAAGCTTCTTTAGATACTTGCCACTCCCAGCAGATATGTGCCAGCCTATTGTGGATGGTAGTTATTGGTGAGCACATATTTGCTTTCTATTCTGTAACATCCTGGAAGATGGGGCAGTGTCTCACACATCCCATGTCCTCGAGTTCGGTGCCTTTGGGATATATGGTAACTCGCCCATGCTTGATAGCTTAGCATGTGAGTCATCATTTTTGTCTTTTTGAATGCCCACAGAACTTTGAATGCACTTGCTGTCTATGCTGTAGAGAATTGCTGTGGAAAGTAGGTGAAAAAGCACGGTGCTTGGCTTTTGGGCTGTCCCAAGAATAGTCTAAACTGCATCCCCCTTTTCCTCTCGCAGAATCGCAAAGGTGCCGTGAGTGAGCTGGAGCACATTCCTGACGCAGTTTTGTGTGATGTACATTCTCACGATGGCGTGGTCATTGCTGGGTAAGCAAAACCATTTCCACTGAGTGCTCTGCATCTGAAGGTCTTTCATTTCTCACGTACTGCCCTCTGAGTACCAGTGACCTTAGCTTCCCTTGAGAGCATGTACCTCCCTCAGTTACAGCCCATGTGGAAGAGGGAGAGTCTCTGTGATTCTGTTCCCGAGGACGTGAGAGTGCCGCGGCGAGGGTGAGAAGCACATGGTGTAGAGCGGATCTGTGATCCATTTGTCTCAATATGTCTTTCCCAGCTTTTAAATCACTTTTGTGGCATGTTATGTGAGATTTTCATTAAGGCAAACAGTTTGTATTTTATGAAGACATAAAAAAGTCAAGCAGATATAATAAGTGTTGGCACAGACAGGCCCTGTTCTCATTCTCTTTTTCTAAATCCCTTATTGTGAAGAAGGCCTGTGGCCACGCATAATCTTCCTTCCCCACCATATAGTACATATTTGTTACTTAAGTTGTCCCAAAATAGCTTTTTTTTTTTCTCCATGGCCAAGACATTTACTTTTAGCTTCTGTAAATTCCTTCAGCTTCTGTCCCAAAAACCACTTTGATGAAGTCTTCCTACTTTGTTACAGAGGTACATTTATATACTTAATTACTGTACAGTAAGATCAGTTTTCTTTTTGGATTAGGAAGATGTCATGAACTACAGCCTCAGATTGTATACTTAATACCATAAAGTAGAGACCAGAACACTTAAATTTCTGAGTTTGGATCAGCTATGGAGTGAGACGCCTTAGGGAAGTTCCTGCCTATGGGAAAACAAAACAAACCTTGGACTTTAAAACTCAGTAGTAGAGGAGTCCTTTTCTTTAAAGAAAAATCTTTCCTTAAGCAGCATTCCTTAAAGAGCACCTTTTGAATAGAAATTCCAAAGAGTCGGATTATTTTAATATTTTGTGGTATGCAGTGCCTATGAAAAGAAGTATTTCTGCTTTAAACAAGATATACCCAGGAGGAATGCTTTTCTTCAGTTTCTGTTTTACTGGCTATGATTTAGAGGTGAAAGCCTTTCTTGGGAGTGCTGCAGAACTAGTTTTAGAAAGATTGATGGTCCAGATACTTGCGATTCTGTCCATTAAGTTATCAGTGCACGTTGGGCTTCTCCACCTCATTGCTAAAATATGGGCCTACGATCGCCCGATATGCAGCTCCTTTCTACCCACAAATGCTACAGTTTGGTGGGAACTCCAGAAGTTACTTAGATCATTCCAGCTAAAGGGATCTCTGCCTAGAGTGTCAGAAGACACTTGAGGACAGAAGGCTGAGACTGTACTGAAAGAGTCACAAAAGAACTTACAAATAAAGGAGAGCCTTGAATCTCAAAACCACTTACGAATTTCTTCTCTGGAGCTCCCGAAGGGCAGGCCCCTTATGAGTCCAGATGCCAGTCCTTCTTTCCCTGCCTCTCTGTTCCCTCGGGGTTTGTTCAACATTATAGATTATGCCAACACAGAGCAAAACGATGGCCAAGTTCTGTGGATCAATAGGATGAAACCTGATCTATGGGTCAGAGAGGCTCCTCACGGCTCTTCTTTCTAAGAAAACCTTACGTTGATGGCTTAGCATGAGAGACTTCAGTCTTGCTTGTATGTACAGCATCTTGTGTTTATCATTAAAATTTTATCTGGTGGTTACGATGCTTGTTTTCTGGGTCAGATCTTGAATTCCTTTTCATTTGAGACAGTGGTGTTTGTGGTTACCTCATTCCCAATCAATGTTGAATTCACCAGGCTTTCTACAGTTATGTGTCTCCAAGGAGCTTCTTAAAGAGACAGTGGCCACCTCACCCCTTCTTTCTCTTGTACTTACCTTGTGTTTCTCTTATTCTTCTTTTTTCCTTCCCTTTTCTCTTTCTTTTGCACAAGTGGAGTCTGTTCAGAGGCTTAGTTTTATGTAACTAGAGCTAAACTATGAAGCATTTTTGCATTTATACCTATTAAGTACATTTCATATCATTGATGGAGAGCAGAATCTCTTTTTCTCACCTTTTAAGCAATCTGTGTAAATATTCCTGGTTCGGAGTCATGTTGCATAGGCCCAGACTGATATTTATTGCAGTGAACCTCATGATGGACCCAGTCATGGTTCTTCCCTACTCTTCACATAAAACCAGTGAAATCTGAAAATAGTCACTCATTCATAAACGCATTTGACACTCAAATACCCATCATGTGAACAGGACCGGGCCCCTGTTTACCTGAGGCTTGTTTTTCCAGTGGAGAAACAGACATTCTTTCCAAAGCATTTGATGGTTCAGTTTTGTCCATGAGTCTTTGCTTACTCTACAGTCTTACAAATAATTTCCAGTTAACTTTTCCTGACATTCAGAACTCTTTGACATTTCTTTTCTAACCTACCTTTTTCCTTATTACACTTGTCAAGTGTACTTTTGTTTTTTCCACACTGTTCTGTTTAGTTACCTCTGACTGCATCATTTTTTTTAGTTGGGGTACAGTCATATGCCGCATAACAGCATTTCAGTTAGTGATGGGCCCCATATATGATATTGGCCATTCGTGTATCCTAGGTGTATAGTAGGTTCTGCCACCTGGGTTTGTGTAAGAACACGCTATGATGTTTGCACAATGATAAATTCACCAAAGGATGCATTTTTTCTGAGTATATCCCTGTCGTTTAGTGACACATGACTGTATAATTCATATGCCATAAAATTCACTCTTTCAAAGTGTACAATGCAGTGATTTTTGTTTAGTAGATTTACAAGGTTGTGCAACAACACCACTATCTAATTCCAGAACATTTTCATCAACCCAAAAAGAAACCCAGAATCCATTCGTTAAGGCCAATTGCAGTCCTGTCTCCTCCCAGAGATTTCTCTAGCACTGTAGCCTAGCGTCCACTCTTCTGGGAACTCCTGGAGACAGGACCATCTGCAGCTGACAGGGCAACTTGTCGTGTGGCCTCGCTGTTTCACTGAAGCATTTTTGTTTTATATTGTTATTTTACTTAGAAATAATATTTAACTTTACAGCCATCTACTATATTTTCCTTCTAGCAATTTGTACAAAAGCATCTTTTTAAATTTAAATTTAAATTTTTATTTTTTTGAGACACAGTCTCACTCTGTCGCCCAGGCTGGAGTGCAGTGGTGCCATCTCGGCTCACTGCAACCTCAGCCTCCCAGGTTCAAGGGATTCTCCTGCCTCAGCCTCCCGAGTAGCTGGGACTACAGGCATGCACCACCACAGCCAGCTAATTTTTATATTTTTACTAGAGATGGGGTTTCACCACGTTGGCCAGGCTGTTCTCAAACCCCTGGCTTCAAGAAACCTGCCCACCTCAGCCTCCCAAAGTGCTGGGATTACAGGCATGAGCCACTGCACCCGGCCTGTAAGCATCTTTTAAAACTATGAGTGGTATGTCATATTTTGTTAAATGTATACTGTTTTATATGGCGTAAGCATTAAAACTTAATACACAGACTCCCCTTGCCCCCTGCCACATGTATATGATGTTATGTGGGAAACTGGAGAAATGCCTATGTCTGTTCTCTAATTTCTTGGTTTTCTCAGCTTAGAATCATACAGTTTTAAACCTGGAAGTAACTTTAAGAGATGATCCATTCTGAGACCCTCATCTTGCATGAGGTGGCGGAGGCTCAGAGCCATGCTGGGTGTGCGTGAGTGGAGCCGCTCCATCGTGTTTCTGCAGCATCCACAGGCAGGGCTGGCTGGTGAGGCTGCCGTCTCCGGTTCTCATTTGCTGCTCTGAAGCTTTGGCTATTGTAACGTCATTTTGGTTTTTCTTTTGTGACATGTGCCTATTTAAAAACAAAAGCAGCCGGGCGCATTGGCTCACGCTTGTAATGTAATCCCAGCAGTTTGGCAGGCTGAGGCGGGCAGATAACGAGGTCAGGAGTTCAAGACCAGCCCGGCCAACATGGTGAAACCCCGTCTCTACTAAAAATGCAAAAATTAGCTGGGTGTGGTGGTGGACACCTGTAATCCCGGCTACTTGGGAGGCTGAGGCAGGAGAATTACTTGAACCTGGGAGACAGAGGTTGCAGTGAGCTGAGATTGCGCCATTGCATTCCAGCCTGGGCGACAGGGCAAGACTCCGTCTCAAAAATAAATAAGTAAATTAATTAAAGTAAAAAGAATAAAAACAAAAGCAGTGGTAAAAACCATGTTGTTTTGCAACTGTGTTAGAAAGTAGAGAAGAGAAAGTCACTCAAATTCTAGCATGGAATACAACCTTTGTTAAGATCTCCCATGTGTCTGGTTTGGTTCTCAGTCTGTTTTTCTATGCATGTTTTTTCATAATGTGATTATAGCCTTTGTTAAATTTGTGGCCTTTTTCCCTCACCAAACTGATGATTTTTTTCGTGTTGTATATTTTTCATTACTTTCTTTGACTTGTTGAAAAAACACTTTGGATAATTATACCCCGGTTTCCCTATTTATTCCCCTAATAGTGAACATTAATGTCATTTCCTGTGTTTTGTTATATGGATGTTATGCATATTTTATGTATATATGTCTGCAAATTTTTCTCCTTTTTAGCACTACAAATCTTTATTTTAAAATCATTAGACACATGCTACTGTAGAAACTTGAAATTCTATATAAGTGCATAAAATAGAGAGTTAAAGTTCTTTCATTATTGTCTCCTAGTCTTGCATTCCTGATTGTTTTCCTAGGCTAGAGTCCTGTAAGCAGAATTACTGGATTCAGGAGAATGAATTTTTATTTTCCAGATTAATAAATTATTTAAAAATGCTTTTGTAGCCCTCAGCTTCTTTGCAATCTAACCTTTTGACTTGAAGTCTCCAAACCATCCCTGCCATCTTCCTGTCAGTGCTGTACATAGTGAGAGCCCATGCCTCCTGCCTGCTTCCTTCCTCCCCATCTCACCTGGCTCCGTCCCAGCCCTACTGCACTGCACTCTCAGAGGTCCCCTGTGATCTTTTGCTCAACAAACCAATGGCCTTTTCTTGGCTCGTCCTCTCCAGCCTCTTGGCAGCATTTG